TAAGTGGTATGACTTGGAAACGAGGGTAATGGGGAGATTCCTGGAAAATAGAAAGGAGAACAATGAAACGGTGACTGCTCAAGACACCTCTGCATGTTGGATTATGCCGCTGCACTGGTCTGTACCGGGGACTGAGATCTCCTGGTCAGGAGTTTCGCATTTAGCAGGTTTAACACGAGGGTATAAATGTAAGACATTTTATGTTATCTTTGTAGTGGAGATTTGGTGTTTTCTCCCGATTGGCGAAGTGGCAGGAAAGAGATCAAGTTTCAATCTAAAGCTCAGATCCTGAATTAGGTCACAACATTTCTGGTTAGGTTAAATTCATGTATTTGATCCAGTACTACATTTATCATCAAAGCTTACCAAGGGGTGGAAGAGAAGCCAAATGATCGTACTATCCTAAGGTAGAATGCTTTTAACTCCTATTTTCCTGGCAATGTTAGAGAACTTTTCTCTTTCCACTAAAAGAGTCACCAAGAAAAACATATTTTATACCCTCAGGACTGAAACAGTAATGAAAGGCGAGGGTAGAATACTGAATTGACGTGTACGGGCACTTCAAACATATTTCAATACTGTGAAATTATCATGGGGGTTGTTATCTCTCAAACTTCAAGGTAGTTAAAGATGATTACAAGTTCTGTTGCTCAAGGATTTGCTGACATCTAATGCCTTTTTTTCACCAAATGAATTCAAGGACATTTCTGAGTTACTAAAGGATTGGAGAAAGATATAACCCCGAGCAATGCTTTTATTCTCTGTTCACAAACCAGCTCCTCTGCTACAATCCCCCTTCCTCCACCCCCACATTGCCTATCTCCTTGCTCACCATTATTAATCTCACCTGAATCACTCTATTCTTCTCTGAGGGAACACACCCAGTAATAGCAGTGAATCATGGATACTTTGGCTTCTCTAAGTCTCTAATTGACCTACAAAAATTCCAGATCTGGCAGAATAAAAGCATAAGTACTTCACTGAAGGGAGCTCTTCTGGGTTTTGTTCAGTGCATTGTTCTGAACCTTAGTTATCAGATAACCTTTCCTGTTGCCTTGTGATAGGTTTTATCACAATATTATTGGCCTTCCCCTATCTCCACATTTTAAGTACCCACCCAACTCAGTGAGGCAAACTCTTAGGGATTCCTGACGACTACGAGCTCTTTCATCCTGGGGTTAAAAATAAAAATCCTTCATGCTTAATTTTGCTGAAGAATAGTAAATAATTGCCCACAGAGGTCTCTGACAATCTCTAACTATTGATTAGTATTACATATTAGAATTCCCAATGAGATCTTTAAGTACCAGAGAAAGAACTTGAAACACAGTTAAGTATTCTCAAAATGAAATTTGTGAAATGACAGAGCAGCAGACTATCTTTATGCCACGGATAGGTCTATAAGAAGCCACTGGCAAGAGAAATCTAGAGAAGAGTTTTTTTAATATTTTATTTTTATTTTATGTGTATGAGGGTATTGCCTGCATGTATGTAAGTGCATCCATGTCATGCAATGTTCACGGAGGTCAGGAGAAAGCCCAAGATTCCCCTGAACTGGAGGTTGTTAGCTGCCATATGGGTGCTGGAAATTGAACCCAGATCCTCTGGAAGAGCAGCCAGTGCTCTAAACTGCTGATCCATCTCTCCAGGCCCTACAGAAGAGTTTTTGGAAGTTATTTTTCATTTTCATACAAGAAAATGTCATAATATTAAATTCACTAATTTTTTCTCTTGTGCTACAGAGCAATTTAACTGTGTGGATTTTGCACAGTTCTCTACCCAAATAGATTTTAATCCTGATTTTGAAAGAGTTTATATATTAAGGGGGAAAAAATCTTTAGAGACTTCTTAACTTCTGCATGAGACAAATTTTGTTTTGCTTTGTTTGAGACAGGGTCTCTCTGTGGTCACAGTTGGCCTGGAGATAAACCAGGGTGACCTCTGTCCAGGAGGTCTGCCTGCCTCTGTCTCCAGACTACTAGGATTAAAGGTGTGCACCACCATGCCTAGCCATGAGACACATTTTTTTTTTACAAATATAGAAAAGTTTATGAAATAGAATTTAGGTCATTCTGAGTTAAAGATTTAAAAAAAATAATGCTTAAGCTGAAAGGGTAAAATAAAAAAAAACCTACTGAAAAGAAAGTTGTTTTTAAAAAATATCTCTGTTTTTGCTGTGGAGAGAAAGAAAGGCGTGAAAGGGAAAGGGAGGACAAAGACTAGACACTATTGTTTTCCTGCTCTTAAAAAATAAGCCGGGTGTGGTGGTACACGCCTTTAATCCCAGCACTCGGGAGGCAGAGGCAGGTGGATCTCTGTGAGTTCAAGGCCAGCCTGGTCTACATAGTTCCAGGACAGCCAGAGCTACAGGGAGACGGAAATAATCTCAAAGATTTTTAGGTCTAAGTCATCATCCCATAAACAGTAATCATAGACAAGAACGGAAGACACATTTTATCACTCCCTGATGAATAATAAAAGGGCCACCCTGTAGCCTTGGGTATTGAGGAAATTTAAAAACACAGAGAAAGCCTGACTTAGGTTGAAATTAATTACTATTCTCACTGAATCCTAGAACAGTCCTACTATTGTTCTCCATGGCAGGTTAAGGAGTTTTGTTCTCTGGTTCACCAGGCAGCATTTTTCACAGCTTGAAAAGTTTCATATGAAACATACAAGCATCCTGTATGAGAAACACCAAACTCTTTGTATGTAGAGATCTCAGGTCACTAAGGACATGGAAATATTAGCCCAGCCTGGTAGTATGTGTCTTTAACCCAAGCACTGGGGAGGCAAAGGCAGGTGGATCTCTGTGAATTCAAGGCCAGCCTGGTCTACATAGTGAATTCTAGGCCAGCTGGGGCTACATGGAACTGTTTCATAGGCTTCATCTAAAGATACATGGAAACTATAAGGGTTCTCTCTTTTTAATTTTTTTCAGGGCTGGTTTTCAAGTGCTAGGTAAGCATCTTGCCCACTAAGCTTTGTCCCAGCTCTATAGGGGCGATCTATATTCCAGCTCTTTTAAACTAAATTGAGAATTATATGCAATGACAGTAAGTAAAATACAAACATATATGGGAAGATCACTGACTCCTAACAATGCACAGAAGTCAGAGATAAGGGCCAATAAATGCACATTTCTGAAATAACAGGTTTTTCTGAGTACTTGTTCACAGGTCCTTTGAAGGTTTGGCCAATCTCATTTTAATATTCCAGTTTCACATAAAAACAAGTCTGAACACTTGCATGGCAAGATATTGTTTTCCTTTACATAACCAGCAAAAACACAACTCTAAGCTTAGGCTGTAACGATAAAAGAATTTGGGGGCAGCTGATTTTAGGGACTCATAAAAACTCACCTTTATGCCTCAAGGTATAAAAGAATATGCAGAGTCTGCATTGTGCCTCAAGTGTCAAGAGAAATTATTTTTTTCAGTGAGATTAACTCATGCCAGGAGATAAGGCTATGCTCTGGGAAATGGTGAACATCTGTATCATAAAATCAGGAATTCTGCTGTTGATGTTGAAAATTCCTTAAGGTTTAGATAATTTTATTTAAAAATTTAGGATTTGCCAGGTGTGGTGGCACAAGTCTTTAATAACAGTACTTGAGAGGCAAAGATGGAAATCACTGTTTGAGGCCAGCCAGGTCTACAGAGCGAGTTCCAGGCCAGTCAGGGCTACATTAAGGGGGTAAAAAAGGGGTGGAGGGGTGGAGGGGCTGGAGAGATGGCTTGGAGGTTAAGAGCTCTGGCTGCTCTTACAAAGGACCAGGGTTTGGTTCCCAGCACAGTAGCTGTAACTCCATTCTAGGGGATCTGATGCCCTCTTCTGGTCTCTTTGGGGACTGCATATACATGATTCACTTAAATGTAGGCAAAACACTCATACAAATACAAAATGAACAGCTATTTAGAAATTTAGGGGTGGAATATATATGGCTTAAGTTGTGTGGAATTATAGTGATCATTTAAAAAAACTGTGCTTTGGGGAAGAGAGTTAAAAGCTTGTGGTACATTCCTTTAAATCAATTAGGGAATGACGAACATGTTTGAATATAAAAATTACTGAAAGTTTCTTAGATAGCTGGCATTATTCTAGTTGCCTTCCGTGAATAATTTCTACCTCTAGAAAGTAGATATTATCCTCACTTTACAGACGAGGAAACGGAGGGAGACACTATATTCCAAAGTAAGTAAAAACTGACTGCAGTATTTGTGAATCTAATCACTGCATTCACTTTCTTGCGGTTCTGCATTTCTACCTGACTGCTTAGGACTCTACTTATAGTGACTTCTAAGCCACCATTATCGGATGTTGGCTGGGAGAAATTTGTGACATTTAAAATAGCCATTCGGTAAGACTGAGTATTACCAGTACCAAGTGACTCACAACATATTCTACTGCCTTACCCTAAACCCGGAGCTCCACCCAAGCTAATGCACTCGGCTGTTGCACAGCAACAGATCATCCCAGCACCGGAAGCGGAGGAGTTTGGGGGCCGTTTGCCTCCCAAGGTCCCGCCAGGACCTTGTCTCAAACATCTGAATTCTGTCCCAACCCAGTCGTCCTGATGGCTCTGCTTCCCAAACTGCGCCATAACACATTTCCTTAGGTATCTCAGACATGACTATAAAGAAAAGTGAAGCTAAGCTGGGGTGGACACAGAACAAGATGGAAGGATGAGATAGCATGGCTGGAGATGATCTCAGTCGCATTAAAATTCGCAACATGTCCGCTTCCCTACAGGCCGCTCCTCCATGGACACTACAGGGTGTAAACGGAATACGCCGCCAGCCGCCCACCGCCCGCCGCGTGGCTTCCGGCCGCGCCACGACTGAGGAAACGCTTCTCAGTGATGGACGCGGAGAGCAGAGCCAGGGCAGCGCGGGGGTAGGCGCTCTCAGTCGTCACAGAGTGAGGCGTCAAGGGAACGCGATTGGCTGAGAAACAGATAGGCGGGGAGCCAGACGGAAGTACCGCCCTCCGAATCCACAACCGCTGGGAAGCGCAGGCTCGCCCTTCCCCTACGCCACCTGGAGGCCAACGGCCGCGCTCGCGCAGTCCCGCCGCAATTAAGCGCACGCACAGTCGCTAATCCTGCCAATCACGAGTTGCGACCACCTTCCGTTTGGCCCCGCCCCGCCTCCTTGTGGAGGTTGGAGGCTCTGCGCGTGCGCAGTCAGGCCCCGGCGAAAGCTCATCCTTTCTCGATGGCCAATCTGGCCAATCGCACGTGGCTCCGCCTCTCGCGTGGCCACACCTCTGGGGCGCGGTCTGTTTACCGCTACAGCTGCGAGCTGTTTGTCTCGGCTGTGGTGATGGCTGACCGAGGTACGGCGTCTGCGGGCGAGGGGGCTTCTGAGAGGAAGGCTTCGGGGGCTCTGTGGAGTCGGGGAGACGAGGTCTCTTCCTCGTGGGGAGTCGGTCTGGCCCTGGGCTCCCGGCGGGGCCTAGTGGGCTTTGTTGTCGAGGGTTGGCGGGGAAGCCCCGCCCTCTCCTTGTACCCGTTAAGTCGATGCCCTTTTGGGGAGAAATAGCATCCGTCCTGTCTCTCCCTGTGTCCGCTTTTAAATCAGAACTGCGCACATTTATCCCCTGGCCTTTGTAAGGCCTCGGGCCTGGGGCGGAGCTAGTTCTAGTTACAAAGATTTTCGCATTCGAGATACTAAATGGGTCTGATCGGGGTTTCCGAGTCAAGATGTCGGCTGTGTTGCATTTATTAGGAAGTGATAACGAAATAAAGTTCTCTTAAAAAACATCTTATGCCAGGCGTGGTGACGCACGCCTTTAATCCCAGCACTTGGGAGACAGAGGCCAGCCTGGTCCACATAGTTCCAGGCCAGCTGGGGCTACGGGAGACCCTGTCTCAAAAAGAAAAAAAAAAAAAAAATGTGTCAAAGTGTATTGCCTGCATTTGTGTAAGTGCATCCATGTGCCCACGGAGGTCAGAACAGGGTGTAGGGTTCCCTTGGAACCGGAGTTAGATACGGTTCATAACTGCCATGTGGGTGCTAGGAACTGAATCCGGGTCCTCTGCAAGAGCAGCCAGTGCTCTTAACGGGTGAGCCGTCTCTCCAACTCCCGTAAAAAGTTTCTTGAGTAAAGTTATCCCTCCCCCTTCCCAAAGTGCAAATTTTTGGAAATATTTTGAAAGAGATGCTAGCGCTTAATTTGTTGTGGAGAAAATAAAAACCCAAACCCTGATATCCCTGTGTGGAAAGGAAAGGAAAATCTGGGAAGGGAATTAGAATGAGCCAAATATAATCAGAGGAAATGGCACTTTTTGATGCTTTATACATTGAGAATTTGATAAAATTGAGGGCTGTGTTGAGGTTTAATTTGATAACCATCTATACTTTATCTTTTTTAGAAGCAAATAAAGATTTAACTACCAAGATGGAAAGCCCATCAGAATCAGCAGAGATTGTACCTGCCACTTCCCAGACCTCAGAGTCAGGGGAAGTTAAACCTGAGCCTCCTCAGACCTCGGAGTCAGCAGAGGTTCTAACTGACTCTCCTCAGACCTCCGAGTCAGTGGAGGTTAAACCTGCCATTTCCCAGACATCGGAGTCAGCGGAGGTCAAACCTGCCACTTCTCAGACCTCGGAGTCAGAGGAGGTTCTACCCGACTCTCCTCAGACCTCAGAGTCAACAGAGGTTCTACCTGACTCTCCTCAGACCTCCGAGTCAGCAGAGGTTCTACCTGATTCTCCTCACACCTCGGAATCATCGGAGGTTCTACCTGACTTACCTCAGACTTCTGGGAGTCTATCATCCTTCCATACAAGTAGTTCAGAAAAACATGTATGAAAATTTTGGTTCTTTAGTGGTTCCATTCTGTTTCAGAGTATACTGGCAGTGGTGGTTTTAAGTAGATTGGAATGCTAGTATGTAATCCCCTGTCCTTCCCATCTTAACCAGATTTTCTTTTTGAATCCCATTTCATTTTGTATCAGGTTGAGACTCTCCATACTGAGGGAATCTGAATCTGTACAGTATTATCCTTACTGAAGGCTTTGGTGTCAGTGGGCCTTTTCCTTTGTTTATAATACTGAAGCATTAGAAGTGGTCAGGAGCACATGCTAACTGCTGTGCTCTGATTACTGGGCTCTGATTCCTAGCACTATTTTAAAAGGCTGTTAACCTTGCTAAAGTAAAACTAATTGAGCTTTGGAAATTAAGACATTTTATGATGCTTACTTTAGATTTGTGGAGAAAGAAAGCCATCCAGTGGTACATACCATAGAAATGTAAAGTCTGTATTTCCAATAGAGGAACCTACTTCAACAATGTTTCTTAACATTTTTAATGTTTTGTGCTTTTTTTCAGCTTGTGGGTTTAACACTTATAGAAAGATTAAAGAAAACAAGGTCTTCATTTCATTCTTTTTGTAGCGTGGTGAAACGACTTAAAGTAGAGAATGACGACGATGATCTGATCTTTCCAGAAACAGGAGCATCTTCCATAGAGGAAGACTGCTCAGAATTCCAAGGAAGTGTGAAAGAGAAGGGTGTTGAATCTGAAAAAAATGCGCGTTTGAAAAATAACTCGAAGAATGTAAATACACGTGACTCTAAGTCACTCGATCCTGGGTCATCCAGTGCTTCCCAAAGTGATTTGGTGAATGAGAATACTGAACTAAGATTAAAGGAAGAAAAAGCAAAATTGATGAAGCAGGTTCAAGAGAAGGAAAATCTTCTTCGGAGGCTAAAACTAGCCAAAATGTATAGATCGAAGGTGAGAAGAATTTCAGATCCACTGAATAATTTTTACATAAATTGTAGCAAAATAATTTCAAAATTTGGAAATTATTTTAGATAAGAAGACAAGTAACCAGAAACCTAGCTTCCAACACCTTTAACTGAAATACAAGTCACCGATTTAGAGCGAGGTAGATGGGGCCTGTCAGCATGAGGTAAAACTCTTTAAAAGCCTGAGCTTTGTTCAGTAGGCAGTTGAAGCTTTTGGCTCTAATTTCTAGCCAGTAGCAAGATTAGAAGTATAAAGTGTTAGAAGTACATATACTGGAATCAGAAGGGACAGTGACAGTAAGGAAAACTGAAAATAGATCACTAAAAATATGGTAGTGGTAGAAAGTTTGTTAATGAATCTTGTATCTCCCCCAAAGAAATTGTTTTAGGCATTTTGAGAAAACATAAGATTTTAGCTCTCAACCTACATAGGTTGAATTTAATAGAACTTGGGTACTTAGAAGGAGATAACTTCTGTTACCTGGATAATTCTTGCCTATATAATAGCTCATTCTTCCCCAGAAATGTGGAATAAATGATAGAATTGCATGTTATTTGCTGTCTTGAATTTTTAGGACTTTTCTAAATATGACTTATGAGATACTAAATGTTGAAAAATCTGGTGAGTGTTTTCATTTTTAAGAGCAGCTTGAGGTTCCGAGAAAAACTTGAAAGGTATACAACATAATGTCATATTTTAAAAGTATAGTTGTAATACAAAGAACATGTAATAAAAACCTCTATTACTGCTGGGTGGCACATACCTTTAATCCCAGCACTCAGGAGGCAGAGGCAGGTGAATCTCTGTGAGATCAAATCCAGCCTGATCTGTATAGTGAGTTTAGTGAGTTCCAGGCCAGCCGGGGCTACAGGGAAATCCTGTCTCAGAAAGACCACTGCCCCTCCCCCTCAATCAAAACAAAACAAAAACTTTATTACTGTTTCTTCACACAGTTTTCTCCTATTTAATAATTTGATTTTTCCTGAGGTTAAGCTTGGCCCAGAGTTTGGAATAGACAGAATAGCCACAGAACTATTTTTAGCCGTAGAACTAAGTTGAGTGACATTCTTTATGTATTTTTTAAAGATTTTTATATTTATGTTGTATGTATGTATCTGTGTGTGGGCATGAGAGTGCACGTGCTCACAGACACCAGAGGCATTGTACCCCCAGGAGCTGGCATTATGGGCACTTGTGAGCCACCTGACATGATAGCTGGGACTTGAACTTGGGTCCTCTGGAAGAGCAGTATGTGCTCATAACCACTGAGCAATCTATCCAGCCAGTGACATTCTTTTTGTAACCATGTTACTTTTATCCTACCTGAAAGTGCCTGGGGGTATTAACCTTTAAACCTAGACAATAACTAATTTAGCAACATAAATGATGTAAGTTCAAGTGCAGGACCATCTCACTGTTGACTTTTTTCTGTTTCAGAATGACCTGTGTGAGTTGCAGTTGTTAATAAAGAAGTGGAGAAACTGCAGCCAGTTGTTGCTGTATGATCTGCAGGCGGCTGTGTCTGAAGACAAGAAACTAAGCCTCACTCAGCTGATAGACTACTATGGGATAGATGAGAAGCTGCTGCACTATAACAGGAGTGAGGAAGAATTTGTAGGTCTTTAATCTTTTCTTCTTCAGGCTGTCTTTTTCTCTTTTGGGGGTGATGGGGATCATACACAGGGCCTCATATGTGCTTCCTTGCTGAGCCACTTGGCCCCTCTACAGATAGATAAGAATGACAACGTGAGAGACACACAATATAAAGGAAAGATAGAAGATAGGTAGGGTGTTATGGCTTAGGGGAATATCTTGACAATTTAGGGTATTCTAATACATAAACTAAATTCTAAAGTGAAGTTTTAGTATTTTGCATATTAGGTGTAGGCTAAAGAAAGTGGCATTTAAAAAGTTAAAATCATGTTTTAAAGGAAATTTGGAGAATTTTGGAAACCAGTCTTAAAACGTTTTGATTTTTGTGGCAAAAGGTTTTATTTTCAATGTTAAAATAGTCCAGTATACTGAATATCTAAACCTAAACTAGTCTGAGTACCTATGTCTATCTTTATTGATCTTGTTTTCAACTGTTTAACACATCTATCCATCTCCTAATCTAGTAATTAAACTCATGTCTACAATTACAAATCTGTTTCTCATGTTCATTTACTGAAACGACCATCTGTTTCCTTGGAAACAATGTGTGAGCCCAAGATTGGCCCAGGTTTCACATGGGCCTCTTCCAGCCCTGGGATTCCTGGTGGCAGTGTTGGCTTTCTGAGAGATAAATGGTGCCTATCTAGCTTGATCTTGCAGGCTACAGCTGCTCATTCCTGACAGGTACATCCTCTGGAGTCACCCTAAGTGTCCACTTGTGGGGAATAGTAGGGTTTCCACTCATTAGCATACAGCCTCAGTTGATTTCATCAGAACAATGGGTACTTGGGGAGATAGGTGATGGGTGGGTTATGAGGATGAATGGGGCTTATGGGGGATAGTTTAGAGCTTGGGAATGCCCATGGTTAGTGTTCTAGTTTGAGTCTGAAATGTCTCCCATAGGTTCATGTGTTTGAATACCTAGTCGTTAGCTAGTGGTTCTGTTATAGGAGGTTGTGGAACCATCAGGAAGGTCCTGCCTGGTAGATATGTGTCTAGGGGCTGTGTGTGTTGTGGGGCAATGGGCTTTTAAGGGTTTATAGCTCAACCTGCTTCCTTGTCTGCCACACTATCAGAAGCAGCAGACACAGACTTTTCACCTTCCCATGATGGGCAAAACTGAAAAAAATGAGCCAAACAAAAGAACCCTCAGGTTGCTTCTGTCATGTGTCTTGACACAGTGACGAGTAAAGTAATGAATACAGGTAATCTTTTCTGTTTGTTTTGAGCATTCCTGTTGACTCACCTCCATTTGCTAGGATCTATTTACTGAAAAATCACTATCATATTTTAAGAAACTATGTGTATGGGTGTTTTGTCTGCATGCATGTAAGTGCATCCATGTCATGCAGTGCTTGCAGAGGCCAGAAGAGGCCATCATATCCCCTAGAACTGGAATTAGAGTTGTTGCCCACCATATGGGTGCTGGGAACTGACCCAGGTCCTCTGAAGAGCAGCCCGTGCTCTTGACAACTGAGCCATCTCTCCAGCTCCTACTTATTTTTGACATAGGGTCTCATCATACAGCCCAGGCTAGCCTCCAACTCTCAGAATCTTCGACATTATAGGTGTATGCCCCTAAAGGGAAGATTTTTATAATAGCTCTTTTGCTTTACTTGTACCAGTGTCTATTAGACATGGTATTGTATATTAAACTTAAAATTTAGATTACAAATTGGAGACTGATAAGTGATCCTAATGATGTCACCTAAGAATGCATCAGACCATGAGCTGTGGAAGGGTGAATAGAGTCTGCCAGCAAGTCTCAGCTTATAAATGCAATTAGCATCATCTGTATGCCATATATATATATAAGAGTATTTTAAGGAAATGAGCACTTTCTGTTTGCTGAATCCTTTAGGTATGGTGAAAAAGTGAGCTCTGTTACAATAGGAAATGACTCTTTCCAAAATATGTTACAGTTTACAAATGGTTTAAGTCTTGGGGTAAGTAACAATTTACTCTGGTTTCATAGGCAGAAGTTACCCTCTAAAATTCTGGTAATTGTAATTGAACAAAATCTTAAATATATTCTGCCTGAAAAATCTAATTCTTTAATCAGTACAAACATTTCATTTAACATATTTATTTATGCAAGACAGATGATTAGAGTTAAAAATTAATTACTAAAAACATGTAACTAAGAGGTAACTTAAATTTCCTGACGTGAAAGAAAAAGAAATGATTTTGGAATGATTGGTTTGGCCTCTTGATCCTGCCAGTGTTTTACATTGGAACGAGGGCTGGAAATGTTTTCATCCTTAGTCTTTCAACTTCAGCCTGAAATACTGAAATCTGTTCAGCTTGTTGTTTTGAGAGATGTGTCAACTTCTGTTGTTTCATCATGTTATCATATTGTTCTTTGGCAATCTTTTCACAAGTCAGCTTAGACCCTGATCCAGGAATGAAGAAGAAAGGGATTAGCTGGATTGTGACCAACACTCAAATACAGAAGCAGCACTTAAAATTGTGTGGAAGAGATGCGGATAGCTCTGTGACTATTGGACAGAAATCAGGAATGCTAATTTAGCGAGATCTACAGGTGATTAAAGAAAACAACTCACCGATTTCATTGCAAATGTCTTGTCTTTCTGAGACAGCAAGCAGCTCTTCCTGTAGATTGCAGCTTAGTGTATAATTTGCTCTATCTTTTTGATTGCTGTATTTTCCCAGTTTTTTTAGTAGTTTTTTGCAGTTTTCTACATTCTTTTTGTGGGTCTGAAATTTTTGTCCCCATGAAACCCCATAAAAAGTAATTTTGAAAAAAAAAAAGTAAGTTGTTTTATAAAAACATGCTCACATTTAAAACACATTACCTACGGTAGCATCTTACACTGTATGCCTAGAGCCTGTCATGTGGTTTGTCCATAGCAGAAACTCAGTTTATTGGTTGATAGAGTGTTAATACTACACTTGGGGGCTGGAGAGATGGCTCAGCAGTTAAGAGCACTAACTGTTCTTGCAGAGGACCTGGGTTTGATTCCCAGCACCCACATGGTGGCTAACAGCCATCTGTAGCTGCAGTTCCAGGGGATTTGATGCCTTCTTCTGAACCTCCTTGGGCATTGCGTGACATGGGTGTACTTACACACATGCAGGCAATACATTCGTACACATAAAATAAAAAATGTTAAAAAAATACTACACTGTATATTAAAGATTTTATACAGTCATAGAAATGAGAGCATTTTTAAAGCTTGCAATTACTTTGTTTCCATCTTACATATGCTCTATAATAAAAGATTTTGTTCAGTTATGATAAGATAAACTTTACAGTGCGAAAGAAAGATTGTCAATACTTGTCATAGGTATAGCCTAGTGTGAGATAGAAAATCCACTTTCATTCCAGAGATCAATTTTAATATTTGAAGGAGGTCTGCAGTCTCTGTCACTGGCTATGGTTGCAAAGACACCATTCAGGAACCTCTAATTACCTTCTGAATAACAGTAAATTGCCAAGTTTCTGCTAGGTTCTTCTGTTCATTTCTGAAGCCTTATTACTTTGCTCACATGATCACAACTGTTAGGATTATAATATATTTGAGACTGACCTTATCTATAACATTAATGGTTTGCTCCATTATTCCAATCTGAATAGCAATCAGACTCTCGTAGTTTGGTTCATTTAGGTACTTTAAGAGGAAAAAAAGATTCACAATACATGTAAGAATAATGTTTTGTATTTCTTTCAATAGATAACTATAAAGATTAGAAGATTTTATAACTTTCTAAAGATTAGTTTAGAAAGTTGTTTTTCATAACAGATGTTAAGATTGATTTGGCTTTTGTGCCGTATTTACTTGTATATAGCTATCAGTACACTCATCTATATGTTAATCATTATAAATGCTTAAAATTTCTCATTCAACTCACCAAATATTGTGTCCCCACTTGAGTCTGATATTAAGAGTGTTCTAGTTAAAAATACCAGGGCAGATATAAAGAGAGAGAACCTAGCCTTCAAGAAAAAGATACACAGAAATGACTGTCAGAGGTATGGAAGGTGTTAGCAAATTCAAAGATGGTTTGTGATGGGATAAGATTTCTTCAAGTTTGGAAAATCAAGAAAGGTTTTATGGAGAAGATGGAATAAGTTAAATCTTGACAAATCATGTAGATTTAGGATGGGGGAGGTTGGGAAGGGAACAGGGTCAGGGAAGGAGGAGGAGGAAGAGCCAGTATGAACAAAAAGGTGATCCATTTAGGGCTGGGTAATGATTGAGTTGATAAAATGCTTGCCACTTGAGGTTTGAATGAGAACTATCACCCATAAGCGCAAGAATTTGAACACTTGAGGGCTGGGGAGATGGCTTGCAGAGCATCCAGGTTTGAATCCCAGCACCCATATGGTGGCTAATAACCATCCGTAATTCCAGTTCCAGGGGGATCTGACACTCTTCTGATCTCCGAGGGCATTATACATATGCACTTACATGTGGATGCACTTATATGTAGATGCAGGCAATATGCTCAGACACGCAAAATAAGTAAAAAAACATTTAAAGAAAAAAGAATTTGAACACTTGATCAGTTGGTGGTGCTGTTGGAAAAGTCAGAACCTCTAAGAGGTATGGCCTTGATGGGGGAAGCACATCACTGAGGGTGGGCTTTGAGAGTTCATAGCCTTGTCACACTTGCAGTTTTGTTCTCTCTGCTTCCTGTTTGCCGTTGGAGAGGTGAGCTCTCAGCTTCCTACTCCAGCCACCATGCCTGCGGCTGGGTGTCATGCCTCCCCACCATGATGGACTCTGATTCCTCTGGAACCATAAGCCAAATATACTCTTCTGTCTATAAGTTGCCTTGGTCATGGTATTCTGTCGCAGCAACAGAAAAGTAAATAATACACCACATAAGCACAAGGATCTGAGTCTGCATCCCCATGCCCACATAAAAAGGAAAGTGCAGCAGAGTGTGCCTGTACTTAAAGCACTAGGGAGGTGGAGACAAAGGTCCCTGGAGCTCACTGGCCAGCCAAGTCTAAAATCAGTAAGCTCCCGGTTCAGTGAGAGACCATCTCAAGAAGTAGAAAAGTGATTGAGGAAGACGTCTGATGTCAACCTTTGGCCTCCACACACAGACGTACAAACCTCTGGTCTCTACACACCATCTGATGTCAATCTCTGACCTCCACACACACTTGTATACATACAGACCAATACATTTGGTTTGAGAATGCTGGTAAGAGGTATAATGGTTCAACTGGAAGACACTGCCCACCTACTGACTTCAAAATCCATTTGGTAGTTAAGAGTATCAATTTAGCCAGGTATGGTGGCGCATACCTTTAGTCCCAGCATTTGGGAGGCAGAGGCAGGTAGATCTCTGAGTTCCAGGCCAGCTGGGGCTACAGGGAGACCCTGTCTCAAAAAGAACCCCTCCCTCTAAAAAAATCATTAAAAAATAATTTAAAATATATGATCAGGGTGCTAATGTTAATAGAATCAAACAGGAATTTAATATGACAGCATTATACAAATAAGGATAAACTAAACATTTAATGAGAGAGAAAAGACACTTTGAGATGCCCCCCCCAAGCCAAGAGACAAGATTAATGGTAAGACTGTCTAACTCTTAAAACATTAAATAATGGAAGACAGACTGAACCGTGGGAGAAGCATTGGAAACAAGAAAAAGTTGGGCAAGACAGGCACCAGAGGGAAACCAAAGATGACTCAAGCTTTTAACCCTGGGTGACTATCTAGAAAGAACAGAAATAAGCAAATTAAGAAAAGCTGTTGGAATTCATCTCCATGATTGATGGCATCAGTATTTCTGTCAGGAGTTAGGCTGAGCAACTTATGTCTGAATCAATTTTGTTTGTTCAGATACTTTGATATTTTTCTATTTTTTGAAATTTTCTTATAAATTTCTTTTTAAGAAAATTATGCCTTTTGATATGAATTATAACTCCATTTTTGTGTCATTATTTAAAATAGTTTTTGCCATGCAGAAGCTTATTTTTAAGCAGTTGAACTTAAATTCTGTTTCAATTTTATGACTTCCCGTGTTTCATATGATAGAAAAGCTTTCCCCATTGAAACTATGCATAATTTTCCTACGATTTCTTCCCATGGTATTCTGGTTTCATTTTTATATATTACTTTTTTTAAGTTAAAAAAAAAGAAAAAAGCTGTTGGAAGCTAGGGGTGGTGGCACATACCTGTAATCTCAGCACTCAGGAGGCTGAGACACAAGGATTATATTAAGTGTGAGGCCAGCCTGGGCTACTTAGTGAGCTCAAGAGAGCCTGGGCTATGTAGGATGACCCTATCTCAAAAAGCAAACACAGGAAAAGAACTGCTAGGAGTGAGAAAACAAATGGAGCTCAAGGGGATCAGGTATAGAGAGCTTAGACTGGAATACAATTGGATTGGAATTAGAGAGCTTGGGTCTCTAGTTGATAGTAGACATTAGAAAAATAAAGATAACACCAAGGGAGAGGGAATGGAAAGAGCTAAGACAGAGTCTTGAAAAGTGGCTGTATTTAAGACTTAGAAGTAGGGATTGGAGAGGTGGCTTAGTGGTTAAGAGCACTGACTGTTCTCGCAGAGAACCCAGGTTTAGTTCCCAGTACCAATATGGTGGCAATAACCACCTCTAACTCCAGTTCCTGGGGATCCAACACCCACTTCTGGCCTCCATGGGCATTGCATACACAGGTGCACTAACATACATGCAGGAAAACACTTCTTCACATAAAATAAAAATATGACTTAGAAGTGATAATCCAGCTAAAAGAGGCAGAATGTTCTGACATACTGGAAGAAAAACAGAAAATCGGGGTGACAAAGCTGAAGGAGTAGAAAACAGGTGGTCAAACTGCAGAACAGAAGCGTGGTAGTGACTGGAAGAGGAACACTTGATTTAACAACTAGGAAATTCTAGCGAACTGTAGTATAGAATTATACCACTAAACAGGTCGTGAAGTAAACAACCATTGCAAGAAAAATAACTGGTAGACACATAGACACGTTAGGAAGCACATCTGGCTTAGAATATGCCTGCCTTAGAGGCTTCCTTCTACGTTGAGTTAATGACGTTAAAACTGTAGAGGCCGGGAGGACTTGCCTTTTGACGATCTCTTGAAAAAAACAGCATCTGAATATCCCAGGCCTTTTGGCTCAGATCTTCCATTTGCATCTCCATTTTCTTGTGCTCCCACTCAATCTGGTAGATTCCTTTGTGTACTTCTTTGCTTTCCATCATGCTAGCAACTTTCTTTTGTCCTTGAGTCTAAAAAGGTATATCGGTATTCATACACTATGATTCTGTGTGCACACTGACAGACTATTTGATGCTGATTGCTATGACCTAATCTGGCAATTTGTATGCATTTGAAAACCTCCTCAGGGCCTTCCCAGAAGGCATGGCTAGCCATACCGGTATCTGTTTGGTAGCTAGTAGAAAAGAAAAAAAAGTTGATGTAACACTTAAATACCTGTTTTGCACTTCACTTTGAATTACCTATATGAAATTCAGGAATATGTTAATGAAATTGTCCTAACATTGCCAATAATGAAATTACCATGTATCCAAAATAAATTTATTTTATTAAGTGTGGTGGCTTACACCTATAATCCCAGTGCTTGAGAGGCAATGACAGGAAGATTGCTGCAAATTCCAGGCCAGCCTTGGCTACATGGTACGTTCTAGGCCAACCTGGGCCATACTGTAAGATTGTCTCAAAAACCCAATCAATCCACTGCTGGGTGAGGGAGGGTTGATGATCTTTAGGGGAATGATGCTAGGCAGGCTGAACAGGCTCCAGTGGATGAACTTGCAAAGGGACATATGGGTACACAAACTTAACAGATAAAGATATAATGCATGAAATCTTGTGGGTGGGCTATGGGGGTTACAGATAAGGAAGAGGGCCTAAATGTGATTAAGATGTAAGAAATGCATAAAAATTCAATAAAAATATGCATTGAAAAACCCCAGTCAAAAAGTTTATATGAGAATTCTTTTAGTTAACATTTTATATTTTTTTTCCTTTTTCTCTCTTTCCAGAATCTGGCTTTTTGAGGCTCATGGCAGTAAGCTGTACCATACCCTCTTCTCTTTTCTATTATCATCATCTTTTGGTCATAGCTTGGCCTCTCAACTCCTGGAATTTCTTCAGGAATGACTTTTACAATATTGACATACACTGAACAAATGACTTTTACCTGAACTTGAAACGGAAAAGTTAATCTCAGGTCAGGTATGGTGGCACATGCCTTTAATCTCAGCACTTGGAAGGCAGAGGCAGGCTGATCTCTGTGAGATTGAGGCCAGCCTGGTCCACATAGTTCTAGACCAACTAGGGCTACAGGGAGACAAAGACAAAAAGCAAAACAAAAAACAAAAACCCAAATAATAACAAAAAGTTCAAAAAACTTAATCTTATGTTAACTTATTTATAATGTAGACAGTGCTCATGAAACCTTGTGCTCTTGTGACCTGGTCATGTAGCCTTAATCCCTCATGACTCTTCCTTGCCCTTGATCAAAAATAATGGATGAACGAGTATGTCTATGTTTTGCATATTCAAGAAAGTGCTGCAAACACGAATATTTGTTGGAAGTGATGAAGATAGGAAGATTAGCCCATTTGTACTATAAATAGTAGAAGGAATTAAATCAGTAGTATCTGTTTGTGGTTGTGTGTGTTGTAGGCCAGTAGAGGTCTGAATCTTCTGCTACGATAGTCCTTTTTTCTTTGCTCATTTTTGATGGCCAGTCTTGGTTGTCAACTTGACTGGATCTGGAATTAACTGAAATGAGGCTTTCTTGACTGAATCATTTGAAGCTGGATGACCCACACTAAATGCGGGTGTTACCTTCTGATGGCAGCCCATATAAAAGGCCATGGCTTTTTCAGTTCTCTTTCTTTAGACCACCGTGACTATTATGCTATTTCATGCCTGATAATACTGTTTTAATAAGGAAAGAGTAAGCCATTATTCAAGTGCACAGTTCTGGGATAATTCTGCAGGAATAGGTTCTTAGCAGTTCAGTGTCATTCTTGGCTTAAGATGGATGCTAAGAGTCAAGCTGTTTTTATCAAGCATTGCCATATGTGGTACCACACAGTAAACATCTTGGATTTCCTACCTTTGATGATTCCCTTATTTTTGCACTTCAGCCACCTTACTCCCACAGTCATACACTTGATCTTGCCATCAGTAGCCTGAAAATCTAAAGTTTAAAATTTTCTCTACTGAGAAAAACATGTTGACTCAGCAGGGGACAATATGGCTTATGTTTGAGATGACACAGCCAGAGAGGTGGCCATAGGCATCTAGTGGGTAGAGGTTAGGGATGTTGTTAAGTATCCTGCAAAACACAGGACAACATCCATAGCAGATAATCTGCCCCAGATGTCAAGAGTGCCAGAGTGGAGATAACACTGCTTTAGAGCTACATGTGCTTTCTGCCTTCATTTCAGCCAATCTCATTGTAGGATGCAGTCAAATCACTTTTTAAAAAAATATTTTATTTTTTTATGTGTATTAGTGTATTGCCTGCATGTATGTGAGTGCACCCGTGTCATGCAATGGCACAGAGGTCAGAAGAGAGCTTCGGATTCCCCTGGAACTGGAGTTAAGGATGGTTCGTAGGTGCCGTGTGGGTGCTGGGAATCAAACCCAGGTTCTCTGCAAGAGCAGTCAGTGCTCCTAACCACTGAGCCATCTCTCCCTTATGTTCAATTATTCTACCATCACGAGTGGTACTTTTATCTTAACCCTCCCCTGAGGCTAGCTACTCTTGTCAAGTAATTGACGCTGTGCACAAGTCTACTCCTGGAACCTTTTCTGTCATGGTGTCTGGGAGCCAATACCCTGGTTTTCTTTCCTACCTTACTGGAAGCTCCTGTCTCCTTTTCCCCTTTTCTGTTAGACTGTTCAGAGTTGGAGGAGGTGCCAGGGACAAACTCCCTATTTTCTGTCTACCTACTGTCTCAAGAAAAATTTTTTTTAAATGAAAAACCGAGACATTCTAAGATAAACAAAATGGAAGAAATCCTTCGTCAGTGGACCTGCTCTACAAGAAATGCTAAAGAAAGTCTTTCAAACTGAGAATAAGAGACACTAGGCCAAAACCCAAAGATAGGAAAAGAAGTGAAATATACTACCTGAAAATGTAAACGCATGCATAATTATAAAAGCTGGTTTTGGTTTCTAACTCTTTTTCTTCTATATTACTTAAAAATGCACAAAGCAATAATTATAAATCTATGTTAATGAGCACATAATGTAAGAAGATAGTGAAAATAACAGCATAAATGGGGAAGAACAGGTTTACTGGAGTAGAGTTTGAAACTAAGTTGGTATTAATTCATACTTTAATGTTATACAGTTTGAATGTGCTACTCAAGGAAAATACTAAGAAAATAACTCACAACTAATTTAGAAACAAAATAAGATAGGGAATCCAAAGAGTACTTAGAAAAAAAGATTTAAAAAAATCAACTATATACAAAACAGAACAGTAAGAGAGGGAATGAAAAATCAAACAAAAAAGTGGTATGAAAACGAACACCAGATGGTAGGAGTAAGTTCTTTATCAACATTCTTTAAATGTCAGTGGGTTAAACGGCAATTAAAAGGCATGGACTCCATGATGTACAATACCAACCTTTCAGGCATGATGTGTCTACTGGTGCAGTGGTGGCATGCCTGCTCTAGGGGTAACCAACTGACTGGATTTGAGTCCTGCTCCATAAGATGGAATTCATGCTTGGCACTGTAAACCAGGTCAAAAACCCATACCTGAAAAGGTTTTAGGCCCTAAGAGCAAACTTAATACTGTTGTTTCGCTAAATTTTCAAGGTGCCAAGCTGCCTTTCAAGTATTTATGTTTATTTATATATGATAAACACTCCTCCCAGGTTTAATTAGAGGCTTCTCTTTGTAATGAAAGGTGGTAGATGGATGCAGAGATGCATGGCTGCTCAAGGTGCTGAGAATAAGTGATGGTTGCATGCTCAGCCCTGTCCAGGCCTTTATACCACCCCCTCTAAGGCTCAGAGATGACTGTGGATGCAGAAGCAGAAAGAATGTAAGAGCTGAAGACAGGGAAAAGGGCTAAGTGCTGCCTTCTAGGCATAACACAGCCAATACAGTCGCGATCTCACAGCGCTGTGGCTGCTTGCAGTGGACCTACACATGACCGGACTCGTCAACAGTCAGTCATGGACTGGGGAGGCGCTCATGTGGCTGTAGCTCCATGCAGGACTGTTGGCTACTGATGGATTCTGGGGGAGAGGCAGACATTGTCTTCAGTTGTGGACCGAGGAGCTCCAATGGATAGTTAAAAACCAATAATGTAGATGATCCTGGTTAAAGTTAGCAGGTCTCAAAACAAAAGGCAAAAACTAAACCCCGAATAACAAGATATGAATGTGGGAAAGGGACTTGTAGGGAGGAGAGGTACTAAAAGGGGTAGGTGGGAGATTAGAAAGGGTGGAAGGTTATATCAATCAAAAGGAAAATCTGGAAAAATCTCAAATATGGGGAAATGAAAACACATTATTTAATAAATATTAACTCAATGAAAATATCAAAACACCAAAAGACATATTAAGAAATACCTTGAAATAAGAAAAATGAAAATACAATACTAAAAGCAGTGCTCAGAGGAAAATTAATGGCTATAAACACATTAAAAAGACAGCTGGCATCAATAATCTAACATCCTTTACGTACTAGAAAAAGACAAACTAAATTCAAAACCATCAGAAGCATAGAGTGAATTGGGAAATGGAACTGATGAAATGAAAAATTGGTCCTTGGGGGTGGGGATCAGTCAAATCAGTGAATCTTGGCTAGATTAAGCAGGGCGGGGTAAGGACTCAAATGTCTAAAACTAGTACTGTAATTAGATATATTACCATCAATGCTACATAAAAGACTATATACTGAGACCTTTTGAAGCAATATACTAAGGTATGTCTGCCGGGCATGTTGGCACATGCCTGTAATCCCAGCACTGAGGAGGCAGAGGCAGGAGGTTCTCTGCAAGTTCAGGCCAACCTGGTCTACCTAGTGAGTTCCAGGCCAGCCAGGGCTATGTAATGAGTCTCTCTCTCTCTCTCTCTCTCTCTCTCTCTTTCTCTCTCTCATATAATTAATATATATTATCATATATATATATAAATATTCTTCAGGTGATTCACATGGAAGCTACCAATAGGAAGCACTGATTTAACTGAATTACAATTACCATGGAAACAAAAGAATACTATAAAGTATTTGATATAGCAGGCAAAACAGTCTTTTCAAAAAACTGTAATTACCCGAATCACAGAATTCAAGTCTTCAATTATAGTCTTATTGATGAGAATTGCATCGGGATATCCCAGAATTAGCTGGAAATTCTCCAGTTCTACTTGTCCTTGTTTAAGAAGAATTTGTATTGTCAAATTCACCTGGAATTTCGCTTTATCGTCCTGTAATCTAAATGAAAGAAGACTTCAAAGCAAGCAATTGTAGTATATTTGTTTCAAACTCTATTATCAGAGAACATAAAATTTAAATCAGCTTAAGGAAAGCATACTGAGTAGTATGGAGAGTCAAAAGTGAACTTTCCTGGAGATCCCTCTGGACCCCTTCAACTGACCTGAAATTAGCATTGGATCGCTCAAACAATAACATGGTTAGAATTACAGTCGTAAGGCTCAGTTTTAGTTGCAGTGAAAATAAAGATGATGAGAACAGAAACGCTGTAAATGGCAAGTGTATTAAAGTTCTGATCTTATTGGTTTTTGATACTAATCATATTTAATCTGATGCCACTTATCAAGTCTGTTGCATAATTAATATTCCCTCTGTAGCCTAGGTCTGAAAATGATGTATAGTGATGAATTTGGGAACATCATGGAAGTGTTTATCCATGTGGCTATACATATGGCCTTATGAAAGCAGACTTAAGAATATACAAAGCACTCAGCAAAAACCATCATGTGCCCTCAAGAAAAACATAAAGCTGATAGATGTGTAGAAATAGTTAGGACATCTGCTTAGATTTCCATACAACTTACATGGTTTGAGCCTAAAAGTCTCCACTGGTAGACACAGGTTCTTTGTATTTTTATGTGGCAGAGACATATTTACAAAATACTAAGATTTCTTTCCCCTTCTTGTGTTAAGAGCATACATGACAAATTCTGTCTTGAAGCAAATTTTACATAACAAGATGCACACTTTAAAACAAACTTTCTGGGCTGGAGAGATGGCTCAGCAGTTAACACTGGTTGTTTCTGCACAAGACGCGGGTTTGAATCCCAGCACCCACATGGCAGATAACAACTGTCCATAACTCCAGTTCTGGGGGATCCAATGGCTGCTTCTGTCCTCCGTGGGCATTGCACAACACAGGTGCACTTACCTACATGCAGGCAATACACTCATACACATAAAAAATAATAAAATAAAAAAAATGTAAAACAGAAATTTTCAGCACAATGCTTGGATTGAGACAGAAGTTTGTGCCAGCTTGTGGACTAGCCAGGTAGGAGGATGACCCGACAGTGACAGCCTTACCTAACTGAGCCTAGCTTGGACTTGAATATGAGTAAGTAAACCTGGAAGGTTCAAATTACCGAATGAGCTCATGGAACACTCTTTCAATCTCATGCTGCACAGTTTCATCGTCCTCCAGTCTCCTCCGGAGAAAAGCTGTCATTTCCATTAAGCCAGCTGCTTTCTGCTTCACCTGAAGAGACCCAGCTGTTGAATCTCAGGAACAAACATTTAACTTTTCTTACAAAATCTTTTTTTTTTTTTTGGTCTTTTTGAGACAGGATCTCCTTATAGCCCCAGCTGGCCTGGAACTTACTCTGTAGACCAAATGGGCCTCGAACTCACAAAGATCCACTTGCCTCTGCCTCTCCAGTGCTGGGATTAAAGGCGTGTGCCACCACGCCTGGCACTTCTTACAAAATCTTAACAAGCCTATCTTTATCAGAGATTAATAAAGGTTTTAAAAAATGATTTATTTTTATTTGTGCAAGTGTTTTGATTGCTGGTATGTTTTCTGGTATGTGTATAATTCCCATGAAGGCCAGAAGAGGGTGACAGAGCCACCATGTGGGTGGCTGGGGTGGGTAGCTGGAAATTGAACCTGAGTACTCTGGAAGAACAGCAAACGCTTCACCCCTGAGGCACCTCTCCAGCCCATAATAAACATGTAAATCACAGCTGTTATGTAATGGGGACCATGCACTCACATTCCAGGAATTTAAAGAGTATACAATTGACTTCTTGCTGAAAATCAGGTCTGAGAGTGACTAGAAAGTTTTTTATATATTTTGCTTTGAAATTTGTTCCCATCACCTTAGAAGAAATTGTAGAATCATAGATATGTAACAAAAATGTGCCAGCCTGATGTATGTGGCACTGGTTTTGTGGAATTGAGAGGAGACAGGCTGTGGTCAAGAAACTGAAAGAGCACTGGCTGCTCTTGCAGAGGATCAGGGTTCAGTTCCCAGCACCTACATGGTGGCTAACAACCTTCCATAACTACAGTTCCAGGGGATCTGATGACTCTTCTGGCCTCTGGGAGCACTGCACAACACTAGTGCACTTACATGTAGGCAAAACACTCATATACATAAAAATAAGTCAAAAATGTTTAAAAAGAATTAGAAAAATGGGTGCTGGAGAGAATGCCCAGGGGTTAAGAGCCCTAGCTGCTCTTGTAGAGGACCCAGGTTTGAGTCCCAGCACCTACATCGTGGCTAACAATCATCCATAACTCCAGTTCCAGGGGATCCAACACCCCCTTCTGGTCTCTGCAGGCACTGCATGACATAGGTGCACTTACATACATGCAGGCAAAACACTCATACACATAAAATAAAAAGAGACTCTCTTTACAACTAAATATGCTCTCACAGTTTTACTCTACATTTTCCCCTGTTCTAGCAAAATGATGAAATTGGCTCTGATGAGTTAATATGATTCTATGAAAAATGAGCTCTTCTTTAACAGTGCTGTTTAAAAGAAATAGTGTGAGCCATATGTGTGGTTTCAAGTTTTATAGTAGCCACTTTACAAAAAATGAAATGAAACACATGAATTTAATTTTATACTTTTTAGTGAGTACGATCTATCAAAATATTATAGTTCAACTTAGAAGCAATCTAAAAAATGAGACATTTTCTTTCTTTCTTTTTTTTTTTACAGTAAGTCTTCTAAATCTGTGTATTTTCCACTTAAAGCACATCTCAGGACTGATCATATCTATTTCCAGTGCACTAACCACTCAGCACTAGCACCATTATTTTATACACTGTGGTTTACAAGAGCAAGGTAACATTAACACCAATGATATCATCCAATTTTGTTATGTTATCAGTAATATTACTAACTACCATCAAGTAAGAAAGTCTTAAAACTTAGTTTTTGACTAATGTAATATTTATATTAGTGGACTTAAAAATAAAATTAAAAAGATGAATACTTTGTGTTCGCTTTCCACTTTTGCTCGTCTGATTGCGCAGAAATGTTCCCAGACCAAGGGGTCCATGCCTTCTGGCATGTTACTGGTACTGTCCAACTCATCCATGGCTTTCATTAACTGGGCAAAGTTGTCCCTATTTAACTTGCCAGATCCTGGTCGCTCTCCAAAAGGGCTAAGACTGCTTGCTTCTGTCTGCGTTTTCTGTTTGTGAATCCTGGTATTATCAAGAAAAGACCATCAACCTTTCATATTCTTACAAATACAAAAAGATTAGTGTTAAATAAGAGACATTTAGCATAGACCTGACACTGTGTGGCAATTTCCTTTGTCACTTCAGGCCTGGTAGGATGGGTTACGCCAAAGATAGAGGCACTTACTTTGTCCTTTCTTCACACTGGGTCCCTAGACCCTAGCCTGGACTTATAGACATCCCCTGTTGTTCGCAGCTTCACCTGTGCTGGGCAACATTGCCCTTCTGCGTATAGTAAGCAAGCAAATAAATACCTGAGAGGAGCTGGCTAGCTACTGCTGGCATCCCTTCTGCAGTAGGATATGCTTGGAGGTGTGTAGAACTAGAGTGGTGCCCTTTTTGTCTATATTAGCATGTTAGCTTAGTTTGCTTGGGCTGTAGCTGGGAAGGGAAGAAGGTTACAAAGAGCTGTGTTGGGCACCCACTGTGGAGATGCTTTACAATGTACAGAGAGGGCAATGGTGTTATCCCTGTACCTAGATGGTAGGGTCCAGCTCTGGGAGAAGCTATTAGCCCCAGGCCAGCTCCAGGGTTGATGGACAGGGAATTAGGATCTAAAATTAATTCTACTTGACATTGAAGTTTGTTTTCCCATAAGCAGGGAAGGTCTCACTTCTTTATAAAAGGAAATGGTATGCACCTGGGTTTATTATAATGCACTTCTAGCCAGGCCTGGTGGCTCACACATGTAATCCCAGGCAAGAGGATCAACACAAGTTCAAGGCCAGTCTAGACTATATAGTTAGTTCCAGGCAAGCTAAGGCTACATAGTGAGACCTTGTCTCAAAAGACAAAAGTAAAACTAACAACAACAACAACAACAACAACAACAACAAAAAGCACTTCTGCTGGGCGTGGTGGTACACGCCTTTAATCCCAGCACTTGGGAGGCAGAAGCAGGCAGATCTCTGTGAGTTCAAGGCCAGCCTGGTCTACATAGTGAGTTCCAGGACAGCTGGGGCTACAGGGAGACCCTGTCTCAAAAAGACTCCTCCCCCCCAAAAAAAAGACTGGGGCTGGAGAGATGGCTTAGTGGTTCAGAGCACTGACTGCTCTTGCAGAGGATCTGGGTTCAGTTCCACCTAGGGTGGCTAATAGCTGTCTGTAACTCCAGTTCCAGGGGAATCCAACACCCCTCTTCTGACCTCTGGGTATTGCAGGACATGGGTGCACTTACATACATGCAGGCAATATATTCATAACATAAAATAAAAATAAAATAGTTTTTAAAAAATAGGGAAACTGACGAGAGGCGATAGCTCAGTCAATAAAGTGCTTTCAGCCCAAGAACAAGGACTTGAGTTCAATCCCAGAACCCACATGAAAAAAGGTGGTTGTGGCCGTACACACTTATAATCCCAGCACTGGGGAATCAGAGAGACACGGATCCCAGGAGTTCCCTGGCTAATCAAGCTGCAGGAATTGACAAGACCCAGTGAGAGACCCTGACTCAGAAAAGGTGGATATCAACAAGGAATAACAGAGATTGACCTCTGGCCTACACACACACACACACACACACACACACACACACACAAATAGGGAAACCAAGACCTGAGAGAAGTCCTAAACTAACTTCCCTGAGTTTTCTATAACCTGTCAAAGGTGAGAGGTTGTTTGTATCTCAGACATAAATTAGCTTTACTCCTTTGCAACAAACAGCATGATTCTATATTATATTTGGTTGAAATTTTCCATTTATTATGTTAGAAATCAGCAAACTACTCCAATTCTACTCTCAGGTTTAAAAAGATATTTTAGAACTCAACAATCATTATTTTGACCTGAATATACTAGCGCTTTGCAAACTTTGTCTGGAGCATAGTCACACGAGACTCTAAGGAAAAGCCATTTGTGATCAAATCTGTCAGGGAAACATTGTTTACTCTATTCCCTATACTTGGAGATCCAACAGCTACTAAGAGCCTCTGGAAAGTTCAGCAATAAAGCATGCTACTTAGCTTCTTTCCAGTATCTCCTCAAACTTAGTCTGAGAAGCCTGCTTTATGTAACTCCAATCTATACCAGAAACAAGGACTTGCATTTGTTGGAACTCATCTTGGGAAAATCTAAGCTACCCATGATTTAAGAACTACTTCCATATATAAAATAGGAAAAAAAATAGGGCTATGCTTTTATACATACTTGACTATATTTTTTTTTTGTCTTCTTGAGACAGGGTCTCCTTGTAGCCCCAGCTGTCCTAGAACTCACTATGTAGACCAGGCTGGCCTCGAACTCACAAAGATCTGCCTGCCTCTGCCTCCCAAGTGCTGGGATTAAAGGCATGTGCCACCATGCCTGGCATACTTGACTATTTTTAAACAGAGGAATCATTATACTTTATTTCCTTTCTTAAGATACTGGTGGAATCTTGAGAAATACTGAATTAGGATGCTGGTTATTTCCATTGGGAAAAGGGTATATTTTTATAATTCTTTTCTTTTTATAATTATTATTTACTAATTTATTTATTTATACACATGCATGCATATATGCCATGGTGTACATGTGAGGTCAGAGGATAGATTGTAGGGGTCAGTTCTCCCCTATTGTGTGGGGAAAGAACTTAGGTCATCAGGCTTGGCAGTAATTGCCTTTGCCCACTGAGCCATCTCTTGGGTGTTTTTTTTTTTTTTTTTTTTTTTTTTTTTTTTTGTTTTGTTTTTTTTTGAGTCAAAGTCTTGCTGTGTAGCCCAGATTGGCCTCAAATGCCTTCTTGCCTCCGTTTCCCAAGTGTTGGGATTACAGGAATACAGGCGTGTGCCACCACGCCTGGCCCATCTCTTGGGCCTTTATAATTCTTTTTAACAGACTTTTTCCCTCAAAAGTATAATAGCATAGGAGAAACAAACCTTGGCCGGCGTTTAAATAGTCTGTAGAGTATATCCACCTGATGACCAGAAACTTCAGAAAGTTCTTTTTTAAAGTTGTGTTCCAGAATCTAAGGGTAAACACATCAATGCCAGGATTACAGAAATGTATAGAAGCTTTTTTTAAAAAAACATTTTATTTATTATTTTTATTTTTTTATGTGTCTGCATGTATTGCCTGCATGTGTGTAAATGCACCTGTGTCGTGCAGTGTCTGAGGCGGTCAGAAAAGGGTGTCAGATCCCCTGGAACTGGAGTTACTTATGGACAGTTGTTAGCTGCCATGTGGGTGCTGGGATTTGAACCTGGGTCTTTTGCAAGAACAGTCAGTGTTCTTAACTGCTGAGCTATCTTTCTAGCCCCATATAGAAGCTTTTTATTTGTTTAACACAATCTCCAAAATACAGGCAGCATCACTTTGACCTTAAAAATTCATGAAGACTTGGTTTATAAAGTTGATGGAAGATAACCATTTACTATGCAAAGATTTTTTTCAAAGATTTGTTCATAGGAAGCATCTCAGTGTTTTAAAAATGGTATATTTTAGGGATCTTTTAAAATTTTTATTTCTATTTTGTGTATGAGTATATTGTCTGCATGTATGTAAGTGCACCCCTGTTATACAATGCCCATGAAGCTCAGAAGAAGGCAATGGATACCCTGGAGTTTAACTGGAGTTCCAGACAATTGCCAGCTGCCATATGGGTGCTGAGAATCAAACCCAGGTCCTCTGCGAGAGCAGTTATTGCTCTTAACCACTGAGCCATCTCTCCAGCCCTTTCATAGGAATCTTAAAATCATCCAGAACACCCAGTGGACTCTGATATGAACATCTGAAATTTGCCCTGTTCTGACTTTTTTCTGGTTCCCTGTCTAGAACTTGTAACGCTAATTACTCTTGCCTTTACTTCTCCTTCACATCTCCTATTCACCAGTCAAGGACCTTCTCTCCCTACAGATAAAAGTTATACAATTTGGGAGTCTTTTGGATAGACACACACAATTGCCTCACCCTGTGTCCCTGTTCAGCATGGAAGAACCAGAGAGGTCTGCATCCCGATTCCCTATTGGCAGTTTGGGTACCCCTTCAGAGGATGGTGTGATAAGAATAGGAGGTAGGAATTGGCTAGGCAGTTAGGGTAAAAAGACCCCAAAGAAAAGTAGCCAGTTTCTTGGCTAAAAGTCAAAATGTCCTTGGGCCTCTTAGCAACATACTCTGTTCCAAAGGCCAAAAATGTCAAAAGTGTTTGGGAGCTCTTATCTAGTCCCTAAAAGATTTTAGGGTTACCTCTTCAGAGAGGGGAATGTGAGAGTAGCAAAAAGCCCCATTAAAAAGAAAGAAAGAGAAAAAGAAAGAAAGAAAAAAGGAAGGAAGGAAAGAAAGTACACAAAGATGTCAGAAAAAAAGTGATGGGGAGATATGGGAGGTGTTGGAGGGGAGGGGGTGGGAGTGGATTTGATCAAAACACCTTATATGCATGTATGAAATTCTCAATAAAGTTTTTTTTTAAGTTAAAAAAATCATCCAGAACAGCTGTTTCCCCAATGATATTTACTTAGGAAGCACTAAAGTTACTCTGTTCAGTCCATTTCATTCAATTTCTTTGCATTTCTTTCTTTTCTTTTCCACTTCATTTGTTCTGTTTTCTTTATGTTATTTTGGTCTATTGTTTTTGCTACAAACTGCTGGCTAGACTAGTAAGTTAATTTTATGATCAACTCATGGGCTTTGCAACCTCAAGTCTGAAAATCCCTAAGGTCTTGATGACCTCCTTTTTTTTTTTTTTTTCCTGGTCTTTTTGAGACAGGGTCTCCCTGTAGCCCCAGCTGGCCTGGAACTCACTATGTAGACCAGGTTGGCCTCGAACTCATAGAGATCCACCTGCCTCTGCCACCCAAGTGCTAGGATCAAAGGTGTGCTGACCACTCTATTTTTTTTCCCACAAGAAAAACTTAGCCTGGGGAAATTTACAAAAATTCCTTTTAATACACAGATTTTTTCAGAAATATATAACCACACACAAAAAATGAAAGCTCTTCACAGCTGAGAGTGATAGTAGAAAAATCTATGAAAAAATTCCCCCCTCCACCTTGAGAGAGAATCTCCACTGCATGGTCTGGGGATAAACCGATGATACTTACCTTGTCTTCTGCTGCTAAGTTGTCATGTTGCTCCTTGAACACGTCCAGGTCTTCTCTAGCTTTCTGGATAGCTTCTGCAGTCTGACTCTACAGCAACAGCAGGAATAGTTCATTGGAACTGGTGACTTTTCAAGATAAACAAAAATACAGAAAATTCTAAGAAGAATAAGCATCCTCATAGCAAAGGAGGAATGTGTCCATGAAGACTCCATTACAGGCAATAGTTAGAGAAGAAAAGAAACCAACTGGAAACTTGGCAATAGCAAACATCCAATGATCTGTTTCTAAGGACAGTGATCTGTGAACATTTGTGTCTTAAGTGTCTCTGATACATGCTGCATTCTTGACAGGGCAATGTGGAGGAGGAAAGTGTGCGTGCTTGGGAGTCCCATGGACCTGTGTTCTGTGAAACTCAACATACATATGGACAAGAGACAGACTGTATATCATTGTGACCCACAATTGTGACCCACAGCCTCTGCAGCAATGTGCTGGGAAGCCAAGCTTGAACTTCAGTGTGATCACTGCTAAACTGTAAGAACCTAATTAGCGATTGCCAGCTTCTTTTATTTTTGTTCCTATTTCCAATTTATGGCCAAGTATGTTCCTAAAACCAGTTCTGATCTACCTGCTGACAAGTTCTGGTTTCAGTGTACCAGAGCTCTCCCTTCTTTTCACTTTCCTGACTGGTGTCAAGGTCCTCCCAGCCAAATTTAAGGCAGGACCGCCACTCTGCTTGCTCTGTCAAGCTCTGAATAAACAATCTCTGCTTATTCTCACGTGAATGGTCTTCTTCTATTTCCACTGTTCTGGTTCCTGCTCTATTATATACTCCTGGGTAATACAGGCATGTTATCAGCCCTTTGAGAAATGATCTCCTCCTGTATGAGAGAAATCCAATAGCCTGAAGGGTTATTAAGATAGGGTTTTGAGGGCCAGAGAGATGACTCAGCAGTTAAGAGCACTGGCTGTTCTTACAGAAGACCTAGGTTTGAATCCTAGCACCCATATGGCAGGTAACAACTGTCTGTAACCCCAATTCCAAGGGATCCAATGCCTTCTTCTGGCTTCCATGGGTACTGCATGACATGTGTACACTTACACACATGCAGGTATAAAACTCATACACATAAAATAAAAATAATTTTTTTTTAAAAAGAAAGAAAAAGATAGGGTCTGCTATGTAACCCAGGCTGGCTTTGAGCTTGTGATCCTCCTGGATTACAGAAATGTGGCCCTGTGCTTGATGAAAATTCTTTGCATATGCTATTTAACAGACTCAAAAGGTAAATATATGTCATTTATGATGCAATAAATATGCATTCACAAATGTGATTTATTAATGCTGCTAATAAAATCTGAAATCTATTGAAACATTATATATCAATAACAATCATTTTGTACTCATCTCTTTAATAAACCATATCTATGTTTATATTTAGTTTTCTGAATATGTTAGTTTTTATTCTATAACCAACCCATTGCTTCCATGTTAGTGACACTTAAAAGGACTAAGTGGTCCTTAGAGAACACTATTCCCTAAAGAATAACTTGCAAACAGTTTTAAAGATTGCATTCCTTGCTCAAAGTCCTATGGTTAAAAGTTGTGCTTTCAATCAAGAAGCAATTTGTTTCATCTTCTAAACAACATGTCACTCTGAAACTGTAGAGTTCTGGATCTGATTGGAGATGCAGAACCCCATGATCTCATTAAGAGATCAAAATGGGTACTTTCACCTGGCCCTGGAGCAAAGTCCCAGATAAGGAACCAAGGGATGAGCATGGTTGAGCAGGAATGGCAGAAGGAAGGAAGGAAGGTTCCAGGTGTGGGAGCTGTTTCTAAACAAGGGGCATAGCTGTCAGAAAACCTCAGCTTACCTTCTCCTCCTGCTTCTTCATAAGATAGTTGTTCAGGAATAGTTCTCTGGAGCTTATTTCTTCATCCAACAGTAAAGAAAAAACAAGGTTATTTATTTTCAGTTCCTCCTGTGGAAAAATTAAAAGGGAGAAGGATTGTGGGTCAATACGTCTATCCAAGAAAGAACTTTTTATTGATACTCATAGACTTGGCTTTAACTAGTCTATGAGACAAGATAAATGTTTTAAAGAAAAGGCAGATAGGGTCTGTTAAAATAATATTTGGTTATTTTACCTTATTTATAATTTCATTGTAAGCAAGACACATATAGAGAAAAATATATAACATGGATGAGGGGTTCTAGAGATGGTTCAGTGGTTAAGAGCATTTACTGCTATTGCAGAGGACCTGGCTTAGTTCCCAGCACCCACATGGCAGCTAACAACAGTATGTAACTCCAGTCCCAGGGGATCCGATGCCCTGTTCTGACCTCTGCAGGTATTGCATGACACAAGTGTACTTATGTACATGTAGGTAAACACTAATACACATAAAATAAGAATAATAAATATATATAAAGCATGGATGCATTATTTAATAAATTACTATAAAGGTCAACACTCTAGTCATCACCACTCAGTTTAAGAAATCCACTTTGAGAGCACAGAAGCCAGGTATTGCCATCAGAATCTCAACTCTAGTAGTGGGCACTGTCTTGGCTTGGTCAGTAGCAACCTCCTGTGTTTCTGTTATTTGGCCCTAGTATGTATCTCTAGGCATAGCAGCATAACTTTTCCATTAAAAACACGTCACATCTTCTAAATCCCTTATAATCTTCATGTCCCCTCATATTCCTTTCTCCCCTTCACAATTCTTTTGTAGTAATCAGTGGTCTGTGATTTTGTGCCCCCCACCCACTGCTATCTCATCAGGCTCTGAATCCCCTCTAGTTCTGAAAATTGGCAGTTGAATCTAGAGACCTTATCAGACCTGGGTTGGAGCCTTTTGACCAAACTGTAGGCTTTGCTCTGTTCTCTGATCAGGATATACACAACATTGTGTTGTCTTTCTGGGATGTTCATAGCTGTGGATGCTCAAAGTACAGGTCCATAAATCCACTGAGAGTTGCAAAATGGTAATAATTTGTTTTTATTTCCCCTTTTCATGTATTAATTAAAATATTTTTATAAGGAGATGTTCCTACTTATTGATTACTTGGTTGTCTAGTGCTGTAGTTTGTAAACTAATTGGCATTTTAAAAAAACTATCACAAAAGTCAGAATAAATATTAAAGATAGATGCTTTATCAGCATATACATAGAATGCACTGGTTTTGGACAATGCACTAGTTGTTACTGTCTGAAGGTGACTGATGGTTAGTGTTAACTGTCAGCTTGACAGAGTCTGGATTCACCAGGGAAATGAGCCTCTGAGAATGCCTCTGTGTGTGTGTGTGTGTGTGTGTGTGTGTGTGTGTTATGTTGATTTTGTTAACTGCTGTGGGGAGAATACTTTTGTTTGAGGGTGGTATTACTCCCTGTAGGGGGAGGGAGTCTGGGGGTGTCATGGGCTATATAAAAGGAGAAGAGAACCAGGCAGCATGTATGCATTCATTGCTCTAATCTGACTGTGAGTGTACATGACCAGGTGCTCCAAGCTCTTGACTTACCAACCATGATGGCTGTAGCCTGGAACCATGAGCTAAAATAAATCCTTTTTCCCTTAAGTTGCTTTTGTCAGAATACTTTATCACAGCAACAGAAAAAGAAAGGCAATGGCCAGTTGGCATTTTCTTTTAAAAATGTCACAAACCGTGGATTTGAACAAATTTGATGTGGTTCAACAAATCACAATTATTATTGTTGCTATTATTGCTGTATATGCTGGAGCTTTGCATATGAAGGCAAGTGCTTTACCCCAACTCTTTACCTTTGAATCGTAAATGCTCTCCTTTAGAGGAGACATACTAGTAGCTCCTGAGCCCTTTGGATATTACCTAGCAAGCAGTTTGACAGCTTCCTCATTATCCTGTACCACAAGATGTTCTAAGAAGGTCTTCTTAAAAAAAAAAACAACAGCTTTATGGAAGCATTGTACCATTCACAGTGTATAATTTGATGCCTTTGGTTATGCACAGTTACGTAGCCATCACCACAATCAATATTAGAACATTTTGTCATTCTAAAAGAAAGTCTAGCAGCTATTTCACATCCCGCCCCGCACTTCTCGGAAGCCTCCTCCCTTTCCCTAAGCAGCTGTTTATCCAGATGCTGGCAGAGGAAGTGTGGTAAATGAAGAGGAGAGGGCAACAATCCAAGGCTGGAGGGGCGAGAGAAGGACTCACCAGCCCAGAGGACCTCGGCACCAGGTAAGGGTGTTGGTCAGCTTCCGAAGAACAACGGAAGGTCCCTGGAGGCTCTTGGGGAAAAAAAAGAGAGTGAGGTGAAGCCTTTGTTTACCTGGTTGACCACCATCTCTGCCTTCACTCGTCTCTCAAAGAGTCTCTTCAAATGGTCATCAAAGTTCTGTGTGCTTTCTTGAATGGAGTTTTGAAGTTTCTTCAATTCTGTTTCTAAGGACTGAAAGGAAGGCAAGAGAATAATTAAATGCTTATAGAAATTGGTATTGGCATTTTGCCACATGGAAGAAGCTGGGGGAAGGGAGAGTCTTGAGAGTCGTTCTGAGCCCTGTGCCTCTACAGCCAGAGAGATGCACTATGTGGATCTAAAATACCATGTGTTTGGAATTTTTTTTCTTTTCTTTTTTTGTGTGCATGTATTTGTGCCTGTGGTATATGAGTTATGTACACATGCACATGCACTTTTGCATGCACATGCACACATACGTGGAGACCAGAGGAGGATGTTGGGTGTCCTGTTCTTGTCACTCTTTGCTTTGTCCCCTTGAGATTGGGTCTCTCACTGAACATGAAGCTCACCATTTTGGCTAGGCTGGCCAAGTCAATGAGTTTCCAGGATCTGCCTCTCTCTGCCTGCCAGTGCTGGGGTTACAGGCATGCAAAGTCACGCACGGCTTTTTTTAAAATGTGGGACCTAGTGACTACAATTAAGGTTCTCATGTTGTGATTGCACAGTCTCCCCATATGAGCCATTTCCCCAGCCTGGATGTTTTGCTTTTAGACTTACAATGGGGAAAAAAATAAAGTTTAAAAAAAATCACTAAGTAGGCTTAGTAAACCAAATTGCAGCAATTTCTTTCAGAAAATTCTAACTATAGATAGCAATTAACAGACACACAATTTGGTCCTAGAAAAGTCTTGCTTTTTTCCAAGCTCTGAATACCTTTACATAGAATTTTTATATTTCTATTTTTATGTTTAAATATATTTCTTTTATTTATATGTGTCTGTGTGAATGTATGCACACACACACACATACACACACACATACACACACACACACACACACACGCCAGAAGAAGTCATCAGACTCCTTGAAGTGGAGTTATAGGCATTGTGGGTAGCCCAATGTGGGTGCTGGGATCTGAATTCCAGTTCTCCTGACTAAGCAGCAAGTGCTCCTAACTACTGAGCCATCTCACCAGTCTCCTATATCTAATTTTTATATTAATAAAAAAGTAGTTCAGTGTCTAGTTTTCAAGAAGAGGATGGAAGTGTAAAAGGCAAGAAGACAGGCCATGTGCAGGCAATATGGATTCACGTAGTGTGAGCACCAGGCTGGGAGAGAAAGAGAAGCAAACTGAGCAGCTTTAAGGATGCAATTGAAGGGGGTGGAGAGATGGCTCAGTGGTTAAGAGCACTGGCTGTTCTTGCAGAAGACCTAGGTTCAAATCCCAGTAGCCACATGGTGGCTAACAACTGTCTGTAACTCCACTTCCAAGGGGATCTGAAACCCTCTTCTGTCCTCATGACAGAAGGCACCACATGGTTTCATGTATGTCACACTGCATTTTCTCTTCTGGAATACTTTCCTTGAGATTGAGAATACATTGAGCAAAAACATTACTGAATTCAAATAGCTGTCGCCAAGGTAGACAATCCCTTGTAATGTCTTGCATATGCTCTACAATAGGCATTCATTCCTTAAACACTTGGAGAAAGAAGGAAGGAACAAATAGATTGGCGACAGTGTTGAAAGTGTTGAAATCAGTGAGAACTTTAAACGGATCAGTTTCAAAAATGTGTCCCCAGTCTTTCAACTTTTCTCACCTTAACTCTCTAAATTCTCAAGAGAATTTAAGCCAAATCACTCTCTTTAAGATATTAAAGACATAGCGAAAAAATTGACCTGGAGCAGCTAAACAGGTTAAACGAATTTTCTGCTCTTCTAACCTTTCTGTACTTATCTCTTTCTTCATTCAGCTCCTTGACTTTTTTCTCATACTCTTTGAATCGCTTCTTTTCTTCTTCAGTCCACAGAGCATCCGGTTTTGCTATGAAAGCAGGTTGAGGAATCACCTGGAGATTCAAAAGAAAGCAGGTGCTCTAGCTCACATAGCTGCATTAATGCAGCAGTGCAGTAAAACTCAGACTGCAGTTTAAAAAGCTGAGGAAAATAGTGACACTTTGACTGAAGGGCATGAGAAAATGTTGCAACTGGCTTCCTGTGACTCAAAGAGGGTGATTGCTTTAGGGTGGCCCAGACCCTTAAGTGACAGAATCAGATGCATGTTGGTATCTTTATAGCTAGAACCACACCCACACTTTAGCAAGACCTAGAATGTCCTGGGTCCCTGGTGTGCTTGGATGGCTACAGTGAAGCAGTGTTCCTCCCTTTGGTAGACACCAAAATCACTGTGGTTGCTTGCTTATGCTCATCTCTCTCTCTCTCTCTCTCTCTCTCTCTCGCTCACTCGCTCGCTTTGATAATGGAGGGAAACGTTTCTTATTTGCCTACAGTGGTATATTTATAGGTTACCGAATTTAGGTGGCTACAGAATTTCTAAAACCCAGTTTCATAGAGGACAAAAATGGTGGACTTTAAGTAGCTTTTTCTACCACATTGTATCTTCTACAAAGATAGCCCCAAATCTCACCATTCTCAAGATGTCTTCCTTCTTGACTTCCAGAACACCTCCCATCATGTCCATCAGGCCTCTGTGCCTTGCATTGGAGGCCTGGGGGGGGGCAGGGTGGAACAGGGTCAGAGAGGGCATCTGAAATAGAGATCTAACAGTTCAGGCAGCCTCAAGCCTGATGTTAGAATGACTGCATTTAGGACTTGGGAGGCGGCAGTGATAAGGGAGAGGCTAGAAGGAGTTCAGCTGAGCTCCAGGTGACCCCTCTGGACCATGCCAAATTCCTGGTGTGTTTCTATGATGGAAAGAAAGTTTTAAGTACACTTGAGCAATGCCACGTACCCGTGCTTGAAGCAATCCATCCATTTCAAGGGGCATGACCAATTCTGTTTTGGCTTTTTGCCATGGAGCAAGATATTTTTGAATGGAAATCTGAAAGAGAAAGTACAGTTTCCTGCTGCTTTTTCTTATAAAATTCAAGTCAAATTTTCTTTCCACATACTGGGAAAAGGATGGTGGTCTTAGAGATTAAAAGCTAGGGCCAATTCAAGGAACCATGCACCAGGAAGTGTGGTCAGAACAGGGATATCAGACAAGAAAGAGGAGAGGGTAGACAGGAAGGTCTGTTCCAAGAAGTGTGAGCAGCCTCCTTAGGGACTAGGCAGAGCAGGGACATCCTTAGTTTGGCTTGTAAAAATATTGCTTTCGAGTGTAGAATGGCTTAGAGCTGAAGACAAGCAGGACCAGGGTTTATCTAAGCATGTGAAAAGTGACTGGCATGACCAGGGACCATAGAGAGTGGTACATGAAGTCTTGGTTATGACCTTGCTCCAGGGATCCACAGCAAGAGGTCAGGGAAAACGAGTCAATTAAACAGGCACAGCAGAAGGCAGAGAGTAAGAGGCTGTCTTTGGAAGCACGATGCTGGACCATGTTCAGATCTCAGCGCTTACTCAGTAGCTGGGAAGACTATGCTCAAGCTATTTAGTCTTCATCTGAAAAATGGAGATCAGGTTTATTGCTAACTTACCAGCTTTTATAATCATAAATGCATTCCAGCCTAACTGGGGTACTCAGAATAGTTCTTAGCATCTAACATAAACCATAAAAATGTACTTCTACACCCAATTATTATCTTTTGCCTCAAAGTAATTAAGTTGGTTCCATGTGTGAAAGAGGATTTCTTTGTATATTCTATGTATTTTTTACTTTAAAAAGATGAAATAGTCATATTTTGTTTTCTTTATTCATTCTGGTTTTTTTTTCCCAACTGTCTCTGTCTTGAAGGCTCTCCAGGGGTCCCCATTTTCCTGGGTTCTAGACTGCTCCAAATGATGAAGATAATTACTGGAACTTCAGTAGCCTCATTGGCACATCATAGTTCCACCTGTAGTATTGGTACCCAACTGGTACCCAACTGGACCAAGAGCTCCTTCCCAGGAAAACTTGGAATTGGGACCAAGAGATTCTAATTCAGATGAGCTGCTCTCTTTAGTGGAAGAGACACAAAGCAGGCATTGATAGGGGAAGTTGAAATGCACAGAGAAGCGAGCTGAGATGAAGGAAGTCTTCTGGACTCCACAGGCTTGGGCTCCTACTTCTTCCTAGGCTCAGTGTCCAAATCATCCCTGGATTCCATGGGATTCATAAAAGAAATCCTCACTATTGCTGAGGCTGTGTCACCTGTTTTTGCTGCCTGTAACTGTGAATGGGACTTAAGGCAGCTGCTTCCAATAGTGTAAACAAGATGGGTGAGCCTGGAGCTGAGATCTCCTAAGAGGGAAGGGAGAATGTGGCTGCCAGTACCTCATCATCCTCCACAACAAGGGTTCTTTCTGGCTGCTCACATTCTTCAAATGCTGGTTGCCAGATGGTTTCTTCCAAATCCAAGTCTGAAATTATTTCTTCAATTCTAACATTTCTTTCTTTTATACGTGCAATTTCGATCTCCTTTTGTTTATATGCGGCATCAAACTCACTATTGAAAACAGTTTTTACCCTGTAAATGATATCCTGAAATATCAAAAGGTTACTGAAAACAAGTTGTATCTTATGTCTTTATTGATACTATGATTTCCTATACACCTCTAAGATCATTCCTAAGTGATCACTTAAAAAGGTCAAATTCATCTTCCAAGATTAGTGTTTACACTAAGGCACTTCGGGGGTCAGTCATCTACAGTGGAATCCAATCAGGAGTAGGATTAAGGTAACAGCATGACTTGTATCATAACCTACTTCCTGAAATGTGAGTTGTAATTTGATATGCATGTCTGATGATAAGTATTGAAGTGGGTGATGGGTACTTGAAGACTTATTGGACAATTCTCTCTACCTTTTGGAGTGTTCTTTCAAAAGCTCCATTATACAATATTTATAAGGTAATATACAGAATTTTAGCATCTCTGTCTTGGAAACTTGATGGGAGGAGACTCCGGCTACTTAGAAAGGAAGCAATGCCTAGAGAAGGGAATTTGGAGAGTCTCATAGAGAAGACCTGCCACAGGGTCAGGTCATTCTCAGATAGAAGGGAAAGTTGGGTCAACAAGCTAGATCAGCCAGTACCTATGGTGGTGACAGGTTCAAGTGGATAGTCCCCTACTCAACTGCTAATGATTCAACTCAAAATGGCCTCTATGTTACACCCATAGTTCAGTCTGTCAGTTTCTCCTAGTGAAGATGAAACTGCTAAAATAGGATGGGAAAATGATCTTGACACCTAGCACAAGAATTTCTCTAGGACTGAAATTACCTCCTCATAGGAACAAGTACAGGAGTAACAAGAGCAGGAGACCCTGGGGTCTGAATCAGCAGAAGCTGAGCAACAAATGGCAACTAAACAGTTCAGCGTGTAAATAAACAGGAGTTCAAAGGATTGGAGGGAGAGAGAAAAGGAGGGGACGTGAGTGATGAGAAAACTGGACCCCAAATTGAAGACATAGCTGAATGGCTTGTGAGAACAGGAATAGCTAACGGTAGATTTCAAACTATCTGCAATTTCAGGTATTGAGTTTTGAAAATACTCAATAGTGTCTTCTACATTACATATGTGTCCTGACACTGACTTGCTTGGTTGAAAGCAAGAAGTAAGAACTTAGAGCCAGAGGGACCTCCTACCTTATTGCTAGGAAATTGAATTTCCCTGAATTTCAAAACAGAGATAAGCAATCCTTACAAGTGATGCTTGTGTTACTGAGAAGATGGAATTAAAGAATTTCTTTGAGCTGGCTAAAGATCTAATTAGAATGGTCTGTTGTGTGAACCAGTTGAAAACATTTATTAGGAAACTTGGTATCACCAAATCTAGTTTAAGTGAATGGAAGCAACTTTTGCACACAAATGATACTCATCTGCACATTTCTCTATGTATTCAGAGACATCACTTGATTATTATTAGGTTTCAATGTGAGTCTTTGAAAGATACTTTGTGGGGTGTGTTAGAGATTTTTTTTTTAATGAAAAGAAAAACCACCCACTTTTAGTAATATAATTTGGTTAATTTTCTCCTCTCTGGAATGAAGCTCCAATTGACTTGTCAATAGAGAGGTGTCTACTCCAAATTCAGTGCTCAGACTACCAAGCAGGTAATTGGGTAGATTGGTATCTTTTATTATCTTATCTTCATCTTCTTCATCCTCTTCATGATGCTTTTTAGTCAAGGCAAGTGCAGACTGAACTTCTACAAGCTCCTTCCGTAGCTAAGGATGGGAAAAAGATGTCATGGAAGTTATACAATAGTAAGCACTCCACAAAGGGCCATTTTCAGACCATTTAATTATTTCAACAATCATTTTAAGATATTAAATAGTCTTACGGACAATTCAGTTCAAAGTGATGGTTTGGATTCTAAAATGGTTGCAGAAGGGATTAAGGCTTCAGACACTGATAAACTGTAAATCAAAAGAATAAAAATGATCTTTGGTAGTACATAATGTTTATGTTTTTGTGTCAGGATGATATCTGCTTGTAAATATTCTGAGACTCTCTTGGTACTTAAAAAATGAAAAAATATATCTTCTCTTCATATTTTATCAACAAACTTGTTCACATGGGATTGGAGGGCGTAGGTTGATTTAAGAGTGCCTTCATTTTATGTTTCAGAAAAAGGGAGAGGGGTGCAAAGTTCTGGCCAAAACAAAGTTATACAAAAGGGTCTCTTTTTACTGTTTAGCAGAGATTGCTGTTTTAAGAAGTAGCTGGGATTGTTTTGGAAAAACCATAATTCTATCAAAACATATTTTACTTCACCTTTGGTCAATGGTCATAAAACATGATCCCTCCTGGTAAGGGAGGACAAAGAAGGTACGTGTGGATAAAGATAGTCTCTGAGCAGGATAAGAACAACACTCCAATCTCATTAAAAAAAAAATATGTCCTCATATTTGAGGTCTGACCAGTGTGTAGGATATAGGCTCCACAATTTTTTTGTACAGATTTGGATCCTATATTCATAAAATAGCAAGAAATGAAAATATAAATATACATTATATACAATCTTAATATTAGTTGTATTATAACACAAACCTGCATGATATATTACATCATATATGTAAACACACACATATCCATTTAAAATGGTACCTTAAGACACTCTGTTTCAATCGTCTTTTGCTGCAAAACTCTCTTCAGTTCCTGCAACTCTTCCTCTGTGCGAGCTTTCATGGGGAAGTTCTCAACCACATAGGGGATGTGAAAGCACTTGGGTGAAAAAGCAAGACAAAGCAAGTTAGTTTTGTAGTACAGTTGTGGGCATCTAGGGGAGAAGGAGGGATGTGGTCCTCTCGCTGGTATCAATTCAGAGATTATTATTCCATGAGTGAAAACGACAATGGAAACCTTTAGGTGATGCCATTAGTACTACTGTAACCTTTGCACAAAACACTGCGTTGGCGGTGAAGGGATTAGTTCCAGAGCAGGGATTCTCAACAAAGAGCAGTTTCTACCTACATTCTTCCTCCTCCCCAGATATCTGGCAATGTCTAAGGTCACAGGCATAAACCAAGATGTTTAGTCACCCTATGTGAAGAGATAAATAAAAATCGCTCTTTAGAACATTCAGGAAGGCAGGCAGAAGTAAAAATGTGAGCCATGCTTTGTTTGCCTTTTAATCTGTGTGACACATGTGCAAGAAGGCCTTTTGGAATAGAAAGGTATTAAGACCCAGATGCAGGGGGCATCACAGAGGACAGAGGACAATGGTGCGAAGGCCAACTGGAAAAAATGCTAGCTTGGAAGCAGAGGCTGGGCAGACGGAAGACTGGATTAAAAGAATCTGATGTGTCCAGGTGGAATTCGGGGGAGGGAACAGTAAGGCATGCTCTGAATGCTTTGCTATGTGTGGGTTTTAATTTTCAAAAAAATAATGCCATGAGACTTTCGATGAATGCTTTTGAATCAGTCATGCTTCTGGACCTGGGGTTGTGTGTCTGTTACCTTCAGAGCTCGACCCTTGACAACCATGGAATCCCAGCACTCTTCCTTGATAAGCTCAGCCAAGTAGCTCTTGGCAAGGTTATGCATTTCCACTTCTTTCTTCATCTTGAAGAGAGTGAATGAAGAGAAAAGAGAAATGAAAACATGGCCCTCACAGAAAGAGCTATCTCAGTGTCAGCTGGCTCACAGGTCAGAGCTCCACACTTACTGCGAGCATATCAGGTGTTTCCCCAGCACTTTGAACTGCCCTGCTCTGGGGTGAACGTCTGAGGCACACAGCCCTACCTTTGAGAATGCCTTTTAAAGCTTATGTCAAGGCTTGGATTCTCTGCCTTGAAGACTGGCGTGTCAACACAAATGCCTCTAAGGATGGCCAGGTCACATCCATGAACAAAAGGGGCTGCATGGACAAAGACCGCCCTAGGGTAACACACTACACACAGACCTGAGGGAAGTCCTGCGCCATGTCTTCCTAGGCTCTATGTATGCATGTGCATGTGCACATATGGGTACAGGTAGGTGTGTGTGTGTGTGTGTGTGTGTGTGCTAGGATTACAGACACACACAGCCATGCCCAGTTTTTTAAAATCTCCCCAGCTCCAAGCTTTCCTCTTTTATCAAAGAAGTTTGAAATTCATACGTTTTTCATATAACACAGCAGGGTATCTAAATGCTAGCTTCATTCTTGTTGACACATATTGAAGGGCCAATGATCATTCCTTAATTATCGATGTCCATAATAAAAACTAGAGGACAACCTCAGATATCAATCCTCAGGAGAAAACCACCTTATTTTATTTTCATTTTTGAGACAGGGTCTCCCTGTAGCCCCAGCTGGCCTGGAACTCACAATGTAGACCAGGCTGGCCTCAGTCCCACAGAGATCTGTGCGCCTCTGCCTCTTGAGTGCTGGGATTAAAGGTGTATGCTACCATGCCCAGCTATATTATCTTATTCTTTGAGACAGGGTCTGTCATTGGCCTGGGGTGCTTCAAATAAACTAGGCTTACTGCCCAGTGAGCCCCAAGAGATCCACCAGTCTCAGCCTCTCCAGTGCTAGGATTACAGACACACACAGCCATGCCCAGTTTTTTAAAATCTCCCCAGCTCCAAGCTTTCCTCTTTTATCAAAGAAGTTTGAAATTCATACGTTTTTCATATAACACAGCAGGGTATCTAAATGCTAGCTTCATTCTTGTTGACACATATTGAAGGGCCAGTGACCATTCCTTAATTATCGATGTCCACAATGAAAAGAATACCCACTAATCTGGGGGACCAGATAATTTATCTTGTTTTCCAATTTAGAAGCATAGGTATTACTTCAATTAGCTTTATCTGCTTAAATCCTTTAATAGATAAGTACCCCTTATTTAAGAGTCTGCCCAAAGACCTAGTACAAAAGTACCTTAGTCCTTACACTTCTCTACAGAACCTTTGTTGTACTGTACTTTGTTGGCAGATTATCAAAGGAGCTCAAAATTTAAAATGGTTTTTGCTTGTTTCTTTTTATTCATTTTACTTGTTTTCTGATCAAATGATTCTTAATTTGCATTTCATAACTTTGCATAATTTGCATTTCTTTTGTTTATCTTTAGAGAACAGGGTCTCCCTGTAGTCCCAGCTGGCCTGGAACTTGCTATGTAAACCAGGCTGGCCTCTATCTCACAGAGATCACACCTGCCTCTGCCTTCTGAGAGCTAGAACTAAAGGTGTGTGCTGCCTCATTTCTTTTTTATTCTGATCCACTGTATGGATGGCTAAATATGCTGTTTTGCATTCCAGTTTTCAGAACCTGTGTGAGTCCCAGCCTATTCAGCCCTCCTCCCTGCCCTGCTGAGGCTCTTCCATCCTTCAGATTTCCTCTCCAGGACTTTGCTCAGTCATGACTGGACTTTGATTCTTTCCCTATTGTGGGCTGACTAATGGTCCAGGCTCTTTAGTATTAAGTCTTCTGATTGGGAGGTGCCACTACCTCTTGCCAGGGACTACTGTTTTGTCCCCATGTGTACCAAGAACTTTCTGGGCTTATGGTGCAGTCTGTTAGCCGTTCTCTTCAGGATCACCGTAATGGCTAACCCAGGGCTTATATTTCTTTCAAAACCCAGAGCTTCAGGAAAATGAATAGTATAAAAGAAACTAGCTTGGGGAGAGGCTTTCTCTGCAGCTGCTTTTCTGTCTTTGATTTTATTCTTGGGCGCCATACCTTTGCCACCTCCTCCTCACTTTCCTCTTGAAGACTTTCCAGTTCCTCAAGGTCCAGGCCAAATTCTTGTTCATCTAATTTTGAAATAGAATCCATCTTTGCATTTTCTTCCATCATATTTGTAATCTGAATTTTGAAATAAGAAGGGATGAGGACAACTGCTGGGTGAGGAAGAACTGATCTTCTTAAAGGGAGGGACTCTCCACAGGCTGACTAGACCCCAGTGGATGAACTTGCACTGGGGGATGTCTGGGGACACTACCTTGACATGATAGACTTTAACACAAATGACAGAATGTATGAATTCCAGTGTTGTGTGTGAGAGAGAGCTATGAGTGGGTACCAATGGAGAAGGGTGTATAAGCTGATTAAGATGTTCTGTATGAAATACACAAAAATTCAGTAAAAAAATTTTTTTTAAAAGGTTGAGGACAACCAAAAAAAATCAAACTTCAAAGAGATGGTTTCCTTAGTCTCTTTAGCTAGTAGTCAATAAAAATAGGTGTTCTATTTCTCTAAGTACACTATTGAATGAAGAATTAGGTTATAGATTATTGTGGTTATTGAAGTTTTAGGTTTGAGCCTTAGAAATTCACTCATCTAATAACAAAACAAAAATACATACATTTGCGACCTAGGAGTCAAGCCTCTAGGCATACCTCTGTGGGACTGTTTAGCCTTTGCGCATGCCTTGAGGGATCATGCTGATTAGATGAACTGAGGTGGGAAGACACTGAAAGTGGGTGGCTCTGTTCCCTGGGCTTGGGTCTTGGACTATACAATAAAAGGAGGAAGTTCACTGAGCATGAACATTGACTGCTCCCTTCTTTCTGGCTGCAGATGCACATGACCGGCTGCTTCAGCTTCCTGCTGCCTTGACCTCCCCCCATAATGGACTGTACCTTGAACTTTAAATAAAAATAAATCCTTGTTTTTTTTTTTTAAGTTGCTTTTGTCAGGGTTTTTTGTTTTTAATCACAGCAATAGTAAAGTAACTAAGACAATGATAAACTGATTTTGAATTTAAATGGCAAAGTAAATGTCCACAAAATAATTTTTTAAAAAATATTTTATTATTTTTATTTCATGTGTGTGAATGTATTGGGTGCATGTATGTGAGTGCAACCGTGTCATGCAATGCCACAGAGGTCAGAAGAAGGCTTCAGATGTCCCTGGAACTGGAGTTAAGGATGGTTTGTAGCCACCATGTGGATGCTGGGAATCGAACCCAGGTCCTCTGCAAGAGCAGTCAGTGCTTTTAACTGCTGAGCCATCTCTCCAGCCCCTTCTTTATTTTTTAAATATTTTATTTATTTTTATTTTATGTGTATTTTTATTTTATGTGTCTGCATGTGTATAAGAGCACCCATGTCATGCATTGCCTGAGGAGGTCAGAAGAGGGCATCAGATTCCTGGAACTGGAGTTATGGATGGTTGTTAGCCACCATGTGGGTGCTGGGAATCCAACCTGGGTCCTCTGTAAGAGTAGTCACTGCTCTTAACCGCTGAGTCTTCTCTCTAGCCCCCTAATTTTTCTTTAAAAAGAAGAGTAAAGGGGGCCGGAGAGATGGCTTAGTTCAGTCCCTAGCAATCACCTTGGGGGGCTTGCAATGGCCTGGAACTCTAGCTCCTGGGGAATTCAACATCTCTGGCCTCCAAAAGCACCTGCACTTACATGTACATACCCCACCACAGACACATACATATACTTTTTAAGTCAGCAAGGCAGAATAAAGAATCTTGGGCTACCAATGGTGGGAAGCCATCATGCTTCTAGATTTGAAGGGCGGGGGCTGGCTGGGAATGGTTGCCTGACCTGTAGGAGAGAGTCAGGATTGCTGCCAACAGAGCAGAAGCTGGGAATGCAGACCCCAACCTTAGTCTTCTGCAGCTGCTACTCCTTACCACTTCCCAACCAGAAGCCAGAAAGCAAGGGACCCATCATTGCTATTCATAAAGGCTAGTCTCTTAGCAGCTCAGCTCATGGTGGGGCAGGACTGAGAGGATGTCCACACAGTAAACCAAGGGTATCCATCCACTACATCAAGATCACTACATCTGTGATCTTTCCAAATGTTAGGGATAAAGAAAGGGTCTCTGGAGTGTCCAGAGATAAAAATTTGACTATCTACAAAGAGTTGGGAACCAGAAATGCACCAGATTCTATAAAGCAAACATTTTAAACCAGAAGACAACAGAGCAAGCCTTCAAAATTTGAGGGGGAAATCGGTGCCACTTAGGCAAACCATCAAGGAGTGTCCGAACAGGGTAGAGATTTTTAAGAACCAAGCTTCAAACACTGTAAATCCCCATGTCCTTTCTCAAGAGCAAAACCAAGGCACTGTACACTCTAGGGCCAGGCACCATTCATGCTGGGTTACATTTGTTGTTTGTTTCTTTGGACATTATTTATTAGCATATACTAATTATACAAAATAATGGGTATCACTAATTTACACATGAATATAATGCACATTGACCATGTTTACCCCCCCCATCAATCTCTCTTGACCCTGGGCCCCCACACTGGTCTCCTTCCCAGCTAGTCCCCTTTCTATCTTCATGTGTTTTGTTCATGTGTAGATTCCATGTACGAGAGAAAGCTACATTTGTCTGTGTCTGACTTCTTCCACTTAACATTATGATCCCCGGTACTGGGCAACATTTGAGTGGCCTCCTGTAAGCAGAGTTATATTACTGTTGGGAAACCCTGCTGTTAGGGTTGTAGTTTTCCATGTCCAGATAGCCCTAAGGGGCTTGGTGCCAAATGGAAGGACTCCCCTTTTCAGCATGGGGCCTCCTGCTCTCTTCCTGGCTTACCTGGGAAGTGCCACTAAGCACAG